AATTATCTTCAGTGAGACCTTGGGAGGAGGAGCACGAGGCAGTACACAGTCTGGATACATGTACAAGAGCAGTATCAAGGTGAGCTGCCTGGAAGGAGGGAAACCTCCAAGTGACCCTTGCCGCTCTGCACTGACCTCCAGAGGGCCAGAAGGTGGGATCCAGAGCTATGTCCCGTGGGCTTCAGACTCTGCAGCCAGTCAAGCCTGGACAAGTGGCTCATATCCTGGAAAGCCAATGAGACTTCCTCAACACACTGCAGTCACCCATTGAATACCAGAGATGAGAGAGCCAGACCAACAGCCTGGGGAGGCCAGCAGTTCCTGGTGGGGATCCCTGGGAGAATAAGGCCTGGAGACCAGGCCCAGGTCAGCATGTACACACCCATCAATGGCTCTCTTCCTTCCCTGCTGTTGTTACCCAAAGAGGAGGTAGCCAGAGCACCCCTACCCCAGGACACACAGGCTCTCAATGATACCCCAAAGCTCCTCAAGTCTCTTCCAGCCCTTCTAACTCCAAACAGCCCTCCCTGTCAGGCCAGACTTGCCAAGCTAGATGAAGATGAGCTGTAACTGGTAAAGGCCATGGAGGTAGTACTGACTCAGCCACCTGTTCCCCAAGGAACTTGAGCACTCCAGAATTCTTCCCTCTTGCTCTCTGTTCAGAGGGTAGGCAAGGCTGGAAGAGATGTCAACTTGGAGAATACCTAGCCCCCAAAAGACTTCTTTCTGCCCAAGGAACACAGGATCCTCCAGCTCCACCCCTATGTATGCATCACAGTCACCTCAAAAGGATGTGTGGGTGGTTGGGAGGGAGGGATAGGGTGGGGACCAGATAGATATTATTTGTTTTGGTTTTGATTTTATGTCTTCTGAGAATAAAAGTTTTGGTATATCAAAAAAAAAAGCAGATTTGGCTGGGAAGGTGGCTCGGTGGTAAGTGTGCTTGCCTTGCATGCATGAGGCCCTGGGTTCGATTTCTCAGTACCACATAAGCAAAAAAAGCCAGAGGTGGTGCTGTGGCTCAAATGGTAGAGTGTTAGCCTTGAGCTGAAGAGCTGATGGACAGCACCTAAGCCCAGAGTTCAGGCCCCACAATTGACAAAAAAAAAAAAAATGTAGGTAGATAGATATAAAGATTTAAGTTGAGGGGCTGGGAAGGTGGCTCAGTGGTGGAGCGCTTGCCTTGCATGCATGAGGCCCTGGGTTCCATTCCTCAGCGCCACATAAGCAAAAAGAAAAAAGCCGGAAGTGGCGCTGTGGCTCAAGTGCTAGCCTTGAGCTGAAGAGTTGAGGGACAGCCCCCAGGCCCAGAGTTCAGGCCCCATGACTGGACCAAAAAAAAAAAAAGATTTAAGTTGACACAAATGACAATGTGAAACTCTAAATGGCTTATTAACATATGAAGAGAGCCAGCTTGTAATTCAAGCTACTTAGGTGGCTGAGATCTAAGGATAAGGGGTTCAAAACCAGTCCAGATAAGAAAGTGTCTGAGGCTCTTATCTCCAATTAACCACTATAAAAGCCATAAGTGGAGCTATGGCTCAAGTGATAGAGTGCTAGCCTTGAGTATAGTAGCTCAGAAACCTCACTCAGGCCCCAAGTTCAAGCCTTAACGTGAACACACACAAAAACAAAATGTCTAACCTAATTATTCATCAGGAAAATACAAATTCAAACCAAAAGGAAATTTTACTATATATGTATCATAATAACTTTTTAATTAAACATACAATTCAAAGCAATCAATACTCTCATACATCATAGGTAGAACTATAGAGCACTGTTTGGGAACCCTATTGGACAATATCTACTAAACCTAAACATATGCTTACTCTATGTGCCAACAATTCCATTCTGCAGTAGAAATCAGGAAAACTTACTGCATAGCTACAAAAAATAGGTTCAAGAATGTCTATAGAAGCAATTATTTTCTCAAACTTAATGATATTGACATTTTTGGTATACATTACTACTAACTTCAGCACATATATGGTGACATAATAATCAACCTGGAATCAGAAAAGTTCTATCACCCCAAAAAGCTCTCATACTATCCTTCTGTAGTTAAGACTATCCCTCTTCCACCAACTCCTAGTGATTGGTATAAATTACATAGGATACTCCTCACCTGCCCCTTATTCCTTTTCTCCCCTCCCTTTTTGTGGAACTAGAAATAATTTCATCCATACTACGCAAGCATTCTACTACTGAGCTACATCTGTGACCCAGATATAACCTTTATAGCTGGATTCTCTGATTCAGCATTAGTCTTGAGAGCCATCCACATTATTGTAGGTATCATTACCTTATTGTTATTTAGCCTGATTTATATTACAATGTACATATATACCTTAAATACTATAAATTCTATGTGTACATATACATACAATGAATAACATCCATATATCCTTAAGTAGTTAAGAGAAAAAGAAATTAAAAGAGATCAATCTGTCTGCCAGTTTATCTGCATATAAGCTGATAACTTGCTTTTGAAGCTATAAACATTGCAAACATTTCTAAATTTACAAATGAGTCAAACTACCAGTATAGAATTATTTTACATGTGTAAATAAGTTCATTTTTATGTAAATACATAAATACATTCATTTAAATTTGAGAAGAGACAATTCAACAGCTTTAAATATTAAGACTTGTTGGGCTTGGAGACCTAAATTGTGATTAAAAATATTTTCAGATAAATATACAAAAGTCTTCTTTTTTGTTTTTGGTTTTTTGCCAGTCCTGGGGCTAGAACTCAGGGCCTGGGCACTGTCCCTGAGCTTTCTTTCACTCAAGGTAGCACTCTACCCTTTGAGCCACAGCACTACTTCAGGCTTTTTCTGTTTATACAGTACTGAGGAATCGAACCCAGGGCTTCATGCATGCTAGGAAATTACTCTACCACTAAGCCACATTCCCAGACAACTTTTATCTGATTTTAAAAGAAGACTTTTTGGCTGGGAATGTGGCTTAGTGGTAGTGCGTTTGCCTAGTATGCATGAAGTCCTGGGTTCGATTCCTCGGTACCGTATAAACAGAAAAAGCCAAAAGTGGTACTGTGCTCAAGTGGGAGAACTAGCCTTGCATGAAAGAAGCTCAGGGACAGGGCCCAGGACCTGATTTCAAGCCCCAGGACTGGCAAAAAAAAAAAAAAAAAAAAGATCCAAGCACTGACAGGTCACGCCTGTAATCCTAGCTGCCCAAGAGGCTAAGATCTAAGGAACCCAGTTAGAAGTCAGCTCAGATAGGAAAGTTCATGAGACTCTTATCTCCAATTAACCACCTGAAAAGTGAAGCGGAGGCTCAAAGTGGTAGAGTGTAGCCTTGGGCAAAAGAAGCTCAAGGATAGTACCCAGACACTGTGTTCAAGCCTGATCTGAGTTCAAGACCAACAATAAATAAATAAAATAAGACTGATTAACAAATTTACAGGCCCAGTTATTAAATTTCAATTTAATATGTTAAAAAAATACTGCTGAGTTCATAAACACTATTCATAAGGAAAAAGCAAATTCACTAGCAGAAATTTTATATTATAATCGTAAGTACTTTAAATAGTTAAAACCAAATACCTGATTTCAGCATCATAGGCACAGTCAATTTGAAGAGGTGATGAAAAATCTAAGTGTTCCATCCTTTGACTTGGCAAATATAAATTCTGAGCTATACTTCTACTAGTTATTAAAATAAGGAACTATGTAACCTGACTACTTCACATCACTATCATGTAAGCAGCTTGGACTACCTTCTGATTATATAGCAAAACATATTCTAATGAAGGGTTTGGCTTGATGATTAGCCTCAGAAGACAGCAATCACAACAAGGAAATGAAGGAAGAACAATAGTCATACATTCTGAAGTCAGCTCTTAATAATGACACGTGACCATCATTTCCATATTGAAGTTTAGAAGACTTAGTTTAAAAAATGGCTAGAAGTTAGATCTTTACGTAAAACTAAGAACAGTTTATGATAATGATTAGCATAAATAATCTAATTTATCCAGTTGCAAATCACCAACTCAAAATGTCTTTAATTTAGAAAAAAAAAGACTTAAACCAAGTGTGCCAAGTGAGGTGGTACACATATGCAAACCCAGCACTCAGGAAGCTGAGGCAGGAGGATCACAAGTTTAAGCCAGCCTGGGCTACATAGCAATACTCTTATTTGGGGGGAAAAAAAAGTCTAAAATTTCAAGCTTGAAGATGGTTATGTTATTATTCCTATTGTTTCAAAATGTATTTTACAATGTGAAGAATGTAAGGCTATCTAAAATCTTCCAGGAAATACTATTCCAAGTGAGTCAGAAATGTATTCAAGTTATGATGTATTAAATGCAATTAAGATGGTTACTAGATGATGTTTGTAAGAAGCTTAATGTTTACTAGATCACTGTCTAACTCTATCCTTTGTTTCTCCTGCTAAAAATGTTGCCAGGTATTAGTGGCTCATGCCTGTAATTCTAGCTACTTACTCAGGATGAGGTTGAGATCTGAGAATTCTGAACAGGAAAGTCTGAGACTCATCTCCAAATAACCAGTAAAAAGCCAGAAGTAGAGCTGTAGTTCAAGTGTACCACTTGAGCAAGAGCTAAGGGAAGGTGCCCAGGCTCTAAGTTCAAGGACCAATACCAGTCTAGCCCACCCCACCCCCAAAATAAAAGTATCTCATATAGTTCAGTTATACATAGCTAGCCTAGCATATGGAAAGACACTGGGAGGGGAAGACAAAAAAAAAAAAGAAAAAAATTCATTCCTATTAACTTAGGTGAAATTTTCTACAGCTAAATGCATTCTTTTCTTAAGCGTTTTTATTAACAGACATAAGAAGCAATAAGGTATACTAGTAGCTAAATGGTCTTTCAGCTAGATTCAAACCACAAACTAGTTACATGACCTGTTGCAAACTACTTCTCAGTACATTAATTTCCATCATGTGTAAAATAAGGTTGTGCCCACTTAACAGAGCTGTTTTGAGGATTAAACAGACAAAATACTTACCGATGATAGGCTTCTCGTCGATACTTTTTTAGAGCATGCTTATCCATGTTAGCAGGCATATCAGCTGCATTCTGTAACCGATCACTCCAGGAGGTTGTCATTTTATATGTGTACTGAATTCTAAAAAAAGAAAAATCAGAAATTTAGTCGGATTGGCATCAGTGTACTGATAAATATTTGTAGTATTTTCCAGCTTTTGTCTTTTGTGGATAGCATTTCTGTGAATATAATGTACAAAGTACCAGTTGTCAGTTCTTTAGCTATACATATTACTGTTCATAATATTTTAGGTAATCAAGATTTCTTTTTTTTTTTTTTTTGGTCCGATTGTGGGGCCTGAACTCTGGGCCTGGGCGCTATCCCTCAGCTCTTCAGCTCAAGGCTAGTGCTCTACCACTTGAGCCACAGCGCCACTTCCAGCTTTTTCTTTTTGCTTATGTGGTGCTGAGGAATGGAACCCAGGGCCTCATGCATGCAAGGCAAGTGCTCTACCACTGAGCCACTTTCCCAGGCCGGTAATCAAGATTTCTATATGATATTTATAGAACAAAAGGGGTTTTACTAAAAAATTTAAAATTAAAATCCTATTGAAGTGTAATATTAACTTAGGAAGTTATTTACTAGACTATTGGTAAGTGAAATTACAAAGGCTAGCGGTATAGCTCAAGTGGTGTCTGCCTGATAAGCCTGAGGTCCTGAGTTCAAATTCCACTGCTGAAATAAATACACAAAAATAACTGGACCTTCATTAATATAGTATATTTGACATGCTATATACTACATATGCTAACCATATACATACTATAAAAACCATATAGATATAACTATATATCTATATACATAGATATTTAATACATAGATTTTATAATATTGCATGCTACATAGATATAAAAGGGTAATACGGTCTTTTTGTTCCATAAAGAAAGTCCATGTGGTAAATCTGGACCATTTTAAGAACTATAAAAAATGGACAAAATGTGAAAGTAGGGAACTACAAAGCAATCAATGATGTGTTACTTGGGATGACAATATGTTACAGAAATATAAAAATCAGAATTTAAATTGACAAGAAATCAGAAGGTCTTTTTCTATTCAAAAAGGATTATGGCGGGGCTGGGAAGGTGGCTCAGTGGTAGAGCTTTGCCTTGCATGTATGAGGCCCTGGGTTCAATTCCCCAGCACCACATAAGCAAAAAGAAAAAAAAGCCGGAAGTGGCGCTGTGGCTCAAGTGGTAAAGCACTAGCCTTGAGCTGAAGAGCTGAGGGACAGCGCCCAGGCCCAGAGTTCAGGCCTCACAACCGGACCCAAAAAAAATAAAAAAATAAAAAAAAAAAAAGGATTATGGCTTATAGGTATGGTTCAAGTGATGGAACACTTGTCTACCAAGTACAAGGCTTTAAGTTCAAACTTCAGTACCAAGAAGAGCAAAAACAAAAAGATTTCAACTTGAGTTCTGCAATAATTAATTACAGAGTGATATATATCTCACCAGAGTTCAAACCCCACAACTGACAAAAAAAACAAAAAACAAAAAAAAACTAATATCTGTAGAGGGACAAGTTTCAATTACACACCAACTAATTCTTGTGGATAAGATAGGATCAGAGTTAACAATCCTCAGTGTTCACACAGGCTGGGAGTGGTCTCCATCCCAATCAGTCACGAGGGAAAACCTATCACCATCATGAGTCCTATGCAGAGTAACTCTAAAAGTTTCTGTTTTTTTTTTTGTTGTTTTTTTTTTGTCGGTCATGGGGCTTGAACTCTGGGCCTAGGCGTTGTCCCTCAGCTCTTCAACTCAAGGCGAGCGCTCTGCCACTTGAGCTACAGCGCCACTTCCACTCTGAAAGTTTCTGGCTGTGGTAAAACAAAGATATTTAAACACTGCTGTGCTCCTAACAAAGGGTAAGAGCAAAGCCACAAAGGACCAAACTTTTTTTTTTTTTTTGGTCGGTCGTGGGGCTTGAACTCTGGGCCTAGGCACTGTCCCTCAGCTCTTCAGCTCAAGGCGAGCGCTCTACCACTTGAGCTACAGCGCCACTTCCGGTTTTCTGGTGGTTTACTGGAGATAGGAGTCTCATGGTCTCTCCTGCCCGGGCTGGCTTTGAACCGCGATCCTCAGATCTCAACCTCCTGAGTAGCTAGGATTACAGGCGTGAGCCACCAGCGCCCGGCAGGACCAAACTTTTTTAAATTTAAATATGTCCAGAAACAAAACTGACCCGGAGCGGTGGCTCTTGCCTGCAATCCTAGCTACTCAGGAAGCTGATATCTGAGGATCCAAGTTCAAAGCGTGCCCAGACAGAAAAGTCCTCATGAGACTCTTATCTCCAATTAACTACTCAAAAACTGGAAGTGGCTCTGTGGCTCAAGGTGATAGAGCACTCACTTTGAGCTCAGAGATAGAGCCCAGACCCTGCAAGCCCTACAATCAACTAAAAAACAAAACAAAACAAAAACAAAATGAGCTGGGTATTAATGGCTCTTACCTATATAATCCTAGCTACTCAGGAGGCTGAGATCTGAGGATCACAGTTCAATGCCAGTCCCAACAAAATCAGTTTTTTCTAATACCTTATAATTTTGCTTCTTCTAGTCTCAAAAGTAACACATACAAGAAAACGTATTACACACTTTAAATGTCAGTTTTTCCAGAAAATATTTATAAAAACTTTGTTGTATTAAACATTTCATTACTTTTCATCTTTTACATATTTGTCAAACAACTTTTTTCATTTTGGGGTAGTTCTGTTTCCTTTCCTCCAATATTGGAGAGTTACACCCACGGCCTTAAGCATGCTACACCCTCAACCTCAACCACTTGTTTTCATTTCATTATTTTCATTTAGAATTCTTATCATTTGTCCCAAGTATGCCATCTGCATACCAGTCATAGCTAATAAACACTAACAATAAAATGATACTCACATAAACCACTCATTTATCCTGCTTTCTTTCTTTGTATGTAACATTTCCAGTTTGTGTACCATCAGTCACAAGCTATAAAATGGAAGCCCAATGACATGAGACTTTTGTTTGCTGCTCTGGCCCCAGCATCTTGCAGGGCAGACTTGACACACACAGAAATAAATTAACTGAAGGTATGGCCCAAGTGCTAGAGGGCCAACTAGCCTTGTGCAAAAACGCAAAGGAGAAAATTAGGCTCTGAGTTCAAGCCCTAGTACTGTGATATACTGGGTGCTAGTGACTCAGTCTGTACTCCTAGCTTAATTGAGGCTGAAATCCAGAGGATCACAATTTAAAGTCAGGCTGGGCAGAAAATTCTGAGACTGGACTTCAAAATAACAAAAAGCCAGGCATGGCTTAAGTGGTAGAGTGCAGAACTTTGAATTCCAACACCAATACCTCAAAAAAATATAATAATCATTAAGCCTCTATACAGCCTTTTGCTTTGTGTGTAAGCTTTAAAATGCAAGATTACACAAAATCCTTCTAATGTTCTAAATAAATTTTTGTGAAACCTAACAAATGCATTAAATTCTTGGCCTGATTAATGTAATAATATTTTGCCAACCTTTCAACGTCAGGCCTCAGAACAAAAGGTTCCTTGTTCCTTGATGGAAAATAAAGTTGAGAAGTAGTCTATCTTGTCGAGTGAGAAATGAAGTACCAATTGCCCTGCCAATTCACTTCTCCGTCTTCTGCTTATTATTTTAATGGTAAAGGTGATATACAGAGGGGTAAGTTACTTAAGTCAGGTAATGAGTACATTTCTTTTTATAGAGTGTCACCTCATCTCTCATTTTCTCCCAATGTTTATCCTCTTGGCTCCTCTCCCCCATGTTGTATAGTTCATTTCCAACATAGTGTCTAAAACTAATTCAGCAGTGACATTCACTCATTTTTCCTTCTTGAAGCAACAAAGTAGTACAGTCTGAAATTAAAACTAGAAATACAAGTTTCCAACGTTTTGAAAATAAAGAGCTAGGGCTGGGAAGGTGGGTAAGTGGTAGAGTGCTTGCCTTGCATGCATTAGGCCCTGGGCTTGATTCCTCAGCACCACCATAAGCAGAAAAAGCCAGAAGTAGAGCTATGGCTCAAATGGCAGAATGCTACCCTTGAGCTGAAGAGCTAAGGACAGCACCTAGGCCCAGAATTCAGGTCCCATGACAGACAAACAAGAAAAGAGCTAAATTTTGTTATGTCCTTCTAAATATTCTATTAAAGCTTTATTACATCTCATGTGCCAAATCACTTAGAATGCTTTCTTTTTGCATCAGCATGTTCAGGTTGCTTCTAACTGACTGTTTTGGATACCAAACCTTCAGTCTGGGAGGAGCAGAATAAGCTGAATTAGATCAGGATACATTGTATGCATGTATGGAAATGAAATCCCCTTTGTACAACTAATGTATACTAATAAATGTTAATAAAAATAAGGATTTTCTTGTTAAACTTTAGAAAATATGACTGGGGCTAGGAAGGTGGCTCAGTGGTAGAGTACTTGCCTTGCATGCATGAGGCCCTGGGTTCGATTTCTCAGCACCACATAAGCAGAAAAAGCTGGAAATGGTGCTATAGCTCAAGTGGTAGAGTGCTAGCCTTGAGCTGAAGAGCTGAGGGACAGTGCCCAGGCCCAGAGTTCAGGCCCCACAACTGGCTAAAAAGAAAGAAAGAAAGAAAGAAAGAAAGAAAGAAAGAAAGAAAGAAAGAAAGAAAGAAAGAAAGAAAGAAAGAAAGAAAGAAAATAATATGACTAATGGCACAAAAAAAAGCTAGAGAGTATATAAACGCTTAAGGTTGGGCATGGCAAGTAGTAGGGCACCTGCCTACTATCATCAATGCAAAAGAAAAAAGATTGAGCTACTTTTATCTTTAAACTACTCATCTAAAGTCTATCAAAAACACAAAGATAGAAAGCTGTACAATTTGTACATTCAGCCAATGCATAACACTTTCAGTAAGTAATGACTCTTGAATACTTTTTTAAAAGTTGATTCTACTTTATTTCAAAAAGAATTTGCCCTCTTACCAATGAGTTCCTGATCTTCACAGAACTTTGTTTTAGCTCTTTTCTCTTACAAAATTTAGGTTAAAAAAAATCAGAAATGGGGCTGGGAAGGTGGCCCTGTGGTAGGGTGCTTGTCTTGCAT